ACCCCTGCCCTCCCCCTCCCATAGGAGCACATGCCCCTTGGGAAGGCAAGATTTTCCCCCACCCAGCAAACAGCCTGGTCACTCCTGGCCAAGCTTCACTCCCACCCCACGGGAGGCAGGAACATCCAATGCACTCCAATGCACTGGGTGGTGGCAGTGAAGTGACTTCACCTATCTGGTCACTTGATGTCAGAGAAGACCCACTGCCCCCACTCTAGTCCTCAAATCAGATTGCCCAGAGAGGTTTGGGAAAGTCCAGGGGAGCAGCTGTTTTTATTGCCTATGAGGAAAGTCTAGGGAGCTGATGCTTTAACTGAGGTAGAGAGAAGTAAGTGAGAGACAGGTTTTTGCAGGTGGCCCAGAGAGGGCAGGCAGGTGGCCTGAGGTCACACAGCAAAGGCTGCCCATTAATTCCTAGCTCTGGCCCGGCTCCCAGACAGCCCTACCACCCCAGGTCTCCAAGTTAAGCCAAGGCATGGCTGCAGTACACCGTGGTAGGTACCATCAGTCAAGGAAAAATGGCCAGGCCTGCTGCCATAAGTGGGTGGCAGCTCTCTAGTCCATAGACTAGTGATATGCCCTGAACTTGATATTAGGAGCACCCTCTTCTTTGTCCTCCCACTTTCCCCTCTCCCTGCTGCCTTTCCATAGCCAGGCACCTGGGCAAGTTTCTGTAAACGCACACAGGCTCATGTGCCTGAAAGCCACCCAGTGCCAGTAACGGCAGAGGGTGGACCTGCTTCCCTCCTCCTACACTCTGAGGAAGTCTCAGCCACAAGGGGTCTCTGGGCATGGCAGGTCCCTTGCTGGTCACTGACTGGGCACACTGATCTCTCCTTCAAAACACTTAACCCAGGGTGATTACTTAGTTAATGATGTCAGCTCTGTGATGCCAGCTCAGTGGCTGGCGTGTAAATGTTTCTTATGTGCCAGGTGCAGTTCTAAGTGCTTCATGTGTATTATTAACTCAGTTAGCCTTCTGATGCCCTATGGGGGAGGTAGGATGATTATCTCCCTTCAGAAATGAGAAAACTGAGGTGCTGCAAGATGAAGTGACATGCCCAAGGTTCCACAGTGGGAAGAAGTGGAAACAACATTCAAGCCTAGGCAGCCTAGCTATAGAATCTGTGCTCTTAAACCCACCGTTGATACACTACCTTTCCTGTCTTGAACCACAGCAAGGGTCACTTACTAATACTGCCTCAGAAACCCAAGGAGGGGTCGCTATGAATCAGATCTGACTTGCCAGCAATGGGTTTGGTTTGGTTTGGTTTGGTTTAACCCCTGGGGGTTGCAAGTGGGGTAGGATACTAAAAGGGGGTTGGGCAATCTACTTCTGTAGTGATACCGCCTCGGAAACCCAAGGAGGGGTTACTACAAGTTGGGTCTGGCTCGACGGCACATAACAACAACAACAGTCTAGCATCAGCTGGACCTGGACTCCATGCAGACTTGGCCATTACTGCCTATGACCCAGAGCAAGTCACTCCCTTCTCAGAGCTAAATAAGTTCCCTCATCTGTGAGATGGGCACACTGTCTACTTCAGGGTTGTTGCAGGAATAAGTAATATAATGGATGTGAGAGGGTCTCACACAGTGCCTACAACATAGGTCAGGGCATGAGTTCTATTCTCCATGCACCTGATTTTAAACAGAGGTCAGTCCATATCTGCTATGACAGGGTATTGGTAGATGGGTGGCTTTGGTGGCCTGACCCTGGCCTAGACTAGGGAGCATGTTGTCCAGGGCCTTCCCTGGCCTTGGAGGGTGAGGGTGGCAATGTCTTCTAGGATTTCCCCCTTGCTCCTGGGCCCTGAGATACCTGTCACCCACAGCAGAGGCCCTTGTGTGTCAGGGACCCTGCCCTGGTGTCATGGAGCTCCTTGAGAACAGCTGCTGCAGGCAGGCATTTACTCCCTTCTGCCCCTTCTCCCCCACCCACTTTGTGTCTCTGACCTTGACTCCACAGCTCTGCCCACCCTGGGTGGGAAGAGCTGGGACAGTGCAGGGGTTGGCAGGATTTGCACAAAGTCACAGACCTGCACTAATAGGGGCAACAGAGCAGCAGAAGCAGCCTGAGGGCCCTGGCTCACATCCCGGCGCCTCGCTGACCTTAGGAAAGGCCCCACCCCCTCTGGCCTTGAGTCTGCAGCTGGACTGGATAATCCCTGGGGTCCCTATCAGATGGCTGTGCTGTCTGGGAGGCTCACGTGCCCTTTCACAGTGGCCTTCAGGAGTCAACAGCCCCAGGAAGTGATGTCAAGGTGGGGAGGTGATGAGGGGGCAGGGAAGTCCACTGGGTAAGAGGAGATATTTTGAGGGCAGGCTGTACCTCCCCACCCCCCATCACTGCTAGACAATGGTCTGGGGCTGGGAGTGGAAAATCCATCTCTTATTTGAGCTGAAAATAGCACAAGGCAGTGGGGTCAAGAACCTCACCCACCAGGCAGGTGGCCCAGGCACTGAGCAGAAAGGTCAGATGCCCACACAGAGGGCCTGTCTACACAGATGCAGTCTGACTGGGGTCGAGAGGTGGGATCCTGGGCCTGTTCCTGGTCTCTTAGAGCCTCCATTTCTCACCCTTACCAGTGCTTGTCACAGGATTAGATGGTAGGTGAACCTCTCCTGTTGCCCAGGTCCCAAGTCCTTAGAAATCTCCATGCAGTCAGTTCTTGGAAGCTTCCTGGGGTGGCTTGAGTGTGGTCTCCATCCACTGTGAAGTCCTGGGTTCTCGGGGTCTCCAGGGCAGCTACTGGAGGAGTAGGTGGGCAGGACATGAGGGGAATGGGGACTGAAGGAACTTGAGCTTATGGTGGCCACAGCCATATCTCCAACCACAGATGCACATTCAAGGGCCTCCAAAGTCATAGAGTACAGACAGCCCTGTTTCTGGGTATAAGCAGGACTGAGAGGGGTAGAACTCAGCATTCACATTTTAGGCCAGCAAACTACCTACGTAGGGACTTCCTGTAAACTGGGATGGGGTTCAGCCTGAGCAGTAGCTGGTAGGAAAGAGATTAGGCTCAGGCCTGCAGGGAAGGCTCAAGGACAGCTTGTGAGAGGTGATCACCAGAAAGCTCAGAGGGACTCAGAAGTATAGAACCTAGAATGTAGGAGGTGAACATCTCACAGTACTTTGGGTAAGTTACCCACAAAGCACAATTCGGGTAATCATTTGGGCCTAGGCCAGTGATAGACCTAAAAAATACCATCACATGGTAGCTGGGAAGGAAGGCTGGAAGTAGAGCAGCCCCTGGGTGGAAAAATCATAGGAGGCAGGTCTCAGGGGCAGAGTAGCTCCACAGGGAAAGGACTCTCAGAGGGAGAGGGAATGAGTTGCCATCCCTGAGGTCAAGAGTGTGGCCTATCAGCTCTGCCTTGTCCCTAGGCTGGGACCTGTTCAGCTAAGCTTCCTAGATTGGCTCAGAGTGGTCCTGGCTGGGTTTCAATCCTGTTGCAGGTACAGCCCATCTCCCCCACACCAAGCCCTGATCCAGCCTCAGCATCAACCATCATATTATGCAGCTGGGATTTTCCAAGGCTGCAGAGCACTGGATTGGAAGAGGAGTGAATCTCTCCCACACTTACCCTCAATGCAAAGGAAACCTACCTCATGGTCAAGCTAAGAAGGGAGCCCTAACTTGGTGTCTATGTGACCTAGCTCCCAGCTGCATCCCCACCTTGAGCCTGAGTGCCAGCTGCCCAGCCTGTTTACAGTTCCTGCATGCCCTGCTCTCTTGCTCCCATGTCTCTGCTAAGAATGTATCCTGTACCTGGATGTTCTTTTCCAGGTGAAACACTCTTCCTATAACTCAAGAGTCCCCCCACTCCAGGAAGCTTTCCCTCACCCTCTGATCCACAGCACCAACCACTCAGTATCGTCCAGTGGTATGCTGGAGTTGACCTGTACTTTCTTGCAAGAGCTGACTTAAATTTTCAGGAGTTTTTCAAGGGGGCTGACATCACATTGGTAGCCTGAAATTGACCATGATGGGAACATTTACACCATGCAATTGGTAATGCTACAAATAAGTGGTAGCCTTCACTCTCTCCACAGAATCAGTTAAATGGTTTCACATTTACTAGCCCATAAGTGGTCATCCCATGTTGTCTTAGACTGGGGGATCCTCAAGGCCTGGGATCCCACCTGATTCCTCTTTATGCAGGGCATAGTGCCAGGCACCAATGCCAGTTGGATTTAAAGTGAAGGATAACTTTAAGTCTGAGAGGGGGTCCCTCAAGTGAGCCTACCCTTGAGGCAACTACCAGGAAGGCAGGTGGCAGAAGAGAACAAGTTGGAAAAAGGACCTGCTGGGGGTGGTGAGAGCTTCCCAGGTTGCATCCCCATCCCTGGGCCATTCACTGGGCACCACAGTCAAGCAAGCAACAAAACCTTTAGTATAAGTTACAACTTCAAACTGGCTCCCAGTCCAGGGGATCCTACAGATGAGTTTATGGCATTAGTGATTTTGAGATATGGGGATTCCTCAGAACTGAGTCCATTGTGGTACCCAGCCTCACCTGCTCATGGCTACTTACCAGCGTCCTCTAGTCAACCAATGACTCCACTCCCCACCCCAGGTAGCTCTGGCCCAGATTTTGTTGTGTGACCTTGGTAAGTCACTGTCCACTCCAAACGGGTCTCAGTTTCTTCTCTTGACTTCATTAGGCTGGACTCTAGCCTGGGCATCTTGGCAGACACAGCTGGGTTTTCATGTAGGAGTCAGGCCAGGGGTGGCATTGGCTCTGAACCCTTGCCTTCCTGAAACCTTATTCCACAACTCACACATACAAACCATACCTAGAGGCTGTGGGGACTGCCAAGCTCTCTGAACCACAGAGAGTGTATCCTGAGCCTCTGCCAAATGATGGATTGGGGGGTCATGACTCCCTTAGTCATCAGACATGACTCTATATCAGGAGAGACTGTCCCTTTTGAACAAGTCTTGGTCCCCTCCAGCCTCCCACACAAACTTGCATATGCCCAAGGGGTACATGTCCTACAGCCGGACATCCTTAGTGTTCTCGCCACCAGCTGGCGTAGACTCTGTCTGTCTAGAGCCCTCACTGCTGGATGACCGGTCCTCTGTCCTCTTGGTGTCACTTCTGCCAGACCTGCGTATGCCCAGCCTGCGGTGAGCCCGGGTGGTAGGGGTGGGGTCTACAGGTGGCTTGGCATCACGGGCAAAACGCACAAGCCTCTGCCCAGCCAGGAAGTAGAGCACGGGGTCAAGGCAACTGTTGGCACTGGCCAGAGGCCGGGTGATCTTGTAAGCCGTGTTGATGGCGTCGAGGACGTGGCAGCTGAGGTCAAGTGAGCGGAAGGAGTAGTAGAGGGTGCGGGTGACATGGAAAGGCAGGAAGCAGAGGGCAAAGACAGCCAGCACCACAGCAATGGTGCGCACTGACTTGCGCTTAGCCCGCGGCAGGCCTCCGGTGGCCCCGTAGGCTGGCTTTAGCAGCCTCTGTGCCATGAGCGCATAACAGACCAGGATGATGGCAAAGGGCACGGCGAAGAGCAGGCCCAACATGACGGAACTGTAGGCCACAAAATGACCAAAGAGCTCGGGTGCTGAGGTGTCATGGCAGGTAATGCGGGTGCCACGAGTACTGGTGGTGACAAAGAAGAGCACAGGTGCCTGGCAGGCCAGGACCAGCACCCACACAGCAGCTGCCACCCTGCGGGCATAGCGAGCCCGGCCCCAGCGCAGTGAGCGCAGGGGGCGTAAGACGCCCAGGCATCGGTGCACGCTGATGCAGGTAAGGAAGAGGATGCTGCAGTAAAGGTTGGTGTAAAAGAGGAAGCGCACCAGCTTGCAGAGCACTGTGCTGAAGGGCCAGTGGTCACCGCGGGCGTAATAGTAGACCAGTAGTGGTAGAGAGGCCGCGTACAATGCATCTGACACAGCCAGGTGGAACATGTACGTGGTGGAGGCGTTCCAAGTCTTGAGGCGGCACAGGAAGGCATAGAGTGCCACAGTGTTCAGACACAGCCCGAGCACACACACCACACCATAGGATACGGGCAGCAGCACGTATTTGAAGTCCTCGTTGAAGCGGCACCTATAGCCCAGTTCATCCCCATCCCAGGTGTCATTGTTGGTGCCATTCCAGGGGTTCAGGCCTGCCGCCATCACCCTGCAGGGAAAGGGGATGGGGAGAATAGATACCATATCAGGGTCATGGCTGGGGCTCAGTGGGGAGGCCTGTCATGCCTACTCTTACTAAGGCCATGAAGGGCCCCAAGTAGCCACAGTTGCTTAATTTTGCCTAACCATGTTCAGGGTCTTGGGTGCCATCTGACCCGAATCTTTCCCTGCACCTGGAGAATCCAGAGTCTCTGAATCAGAGTTCTAGAGCCCTAGAATCTGGAGAACACATGAGATCCACAAATATCAGAAGCATACAATTTGAAATTTACAATAGGGATAGGAAAACTACGACATGAGGGCCAATCCCAGCTCACCAATCTTTTTTTGTGAATAAAGCTTTATTGGAACACTGCCATCCCCATTAATCTATTAAGAGTTGAATAATTGTGACCAAGACCAGATAGCTCAAAGCCCAAATATTTACTCTCTGGCATCTTACAAAACCAGTTGGCTGACCCTGCTCTAGAACCTCCAGATCACAGAGTTCTAGATTTAGGATTCTGAGCTCTAGAACGGGAGGATTTGGTGGGCCCAGAGGGTATAATTTCAGATTCACAGAAAGGTGCCTTTGAGGCTGACTGGATCTGCCTCACACTTAGCGTCCACTGCCTGTTGGGATATTCCTGAACAGTGGACCACCCATTTCCTCCTGGAGGCATTAGGAAGTTCTGTGCTTTAGCTTATCTGTCTTCAGGGAGGCCCTGGCCCCATGCCTGGTATTTGAGGGTGTATTTCCAAGGGTCTCCCCGTTCAGTCATTCATTTACTTGCTCAGCAATTTTTTTTTTTTTTTTGTATTCATGTTCTGGCACTCTCTGCATCTGCAAACAGCAGTCCTGCCCCTGGCCTATGAGGTTGCCTGATGGGGCAATGACCCTGCTGCAGTTTTCAGGGAAGTCTAGGGTGGAGGTGGGGATGGGGGCGCAGAATGGAACTTCTTTTGAGGGGCAAAAACTGTTTCCTCTCTGCCTTCCCAGTTTCTCTTCCCACACCATCACTATCTTGACATTTCTCTACCTTATTCTTAGCAGGCTTATAATACACTCATGAAGTCTGACTGTTCAGCAGACTGAGTTCTCGGAAGGTAGGACTTTGGCCTCTCTCCTGTCCCCATACCACCAACATGACCAATAGCAATCCTCTCAGCTGAGAGGCAGGCAACAGGCATCCTGGGCTGGAGGGAGAAGATGTGTCCAGGAGGAAAGCTAAAAGTCATAGCAGGAGTCCCTGGCAGGCAGGCAAGTTTGAGAGAAACACAAAGGATAACTTTCTAATAGAGTGATAGAGTGGGGAGTAGGGAGAGCTGATGACATTTAAACTTTACTAATAATGTATTCTTTATAAATGTTACTTCATTTAATCCTTAAAACATTTTTCTGGGGGCCAAGTCATCAATCCCAGCTTTCCATTAAAGAGGCTGAGACACAGATCATTTAAGTAATTTGGCCAAGATCACAGTCAGTAAGTGGCTGGGCTGCAATTCCTATTACAATGGAAGGAGCTGTAGGAGGTAGGGAGTGAGGTTGTGCAAGCAGAGGCTAGGCAAGTGGGAGAGGAATGTGGTGGGAGAGGAACATGGTGGGAGAGGAACGTGGCCAAGAGGAGGCCTAGCTTAGGGATGGGTGACACGGAGGGGTTGGGAGAAGGAGCAGGGGCAGGGAGAGGAGGAGGTGTGTTGCGGGATGTGGGGATGGCAAAAGCTGGGAGCACCATTGCCTCAAGGAATCTGCAGGAGGAGCATGGAGGATACAGCATGAGACTGAGGACCAGTGGAGGGACCACACTCTCACCTGGGGACAGAGCCCTGGCCTGGGACTCAGTAGACCATAGAGCCCTGGCTGACATCAGGCACCTCTTATGGGCCAAGCCCCTCAGCCTTGGAGAACTCAAACTCACCCCATGAAGTCCTTTCTGCCCATCGAACAGCAAGGTGGCTTCCTCCATGCCCCAGGCCCACCCCACACAGCTGCCCTGCTCCTGTTCCTGCTCCAGGGCTGAGATCTCTCCTCAGAGTTGCAGGGAGGGCTCTCATCTTCCCTTGTAGTCCAGATCTCATCTCTCTGCACTAAGAGTTTCCTACTAATCACTAATGGTGGAATCTCTGACACTGAGAAGATGGGTGGAGACTTCCCTAAGTCTCTGTGTGAATGGAGGGAGCTGCCCCTTCCACCTGTTTTGAGCATCCTGGCCTCCACCCTTCCAGGCCAGCTGGGGACTCAATCACTGTGGCCCCCGTCCAGCCTGACCCTGCCTGCCCTCTGTCTCCACAGGCTGTCTCATCAACCTGTGAGTACATCTTTCCTGGCTCCCCATCCACTGCTTTATGGAGATGGCCAAGTCCCCAGACCCTCTCCTTCAGACCCCCCTTCTGCCTCTCCTACTGGTAGAAAAAAATAATGAGTTTCCTGACCTCAGATGCCACTTTAAGGCTTCACTCTAAGCACCCTAGAGATCAGCTCTCCCCTAACTTTGTCCAACACCACTCACTAGCCCCTCTGTGCTCAGCTCTGGTCAGTCCTGTCCCCCGAGGAGCTCCCAGTCTGGAGGGGAGATGCGAGCCATTTAAATGCCCTTGTAGGCTTCCCATCCTTTGTTAATGCTGTTCTTTCTGTCTGGAAATCCATCCCAGAACCCACCCAACCTCCGCTCCATTCTACTCTTCCTCAAGGCCCTTCTCAAATGTCACCTAACCTCTGAAGCTCTCCCCCTCCACCATTACCTGGGCTGTCCCTCTTGCCATGTTGCTCGATTGTCCCTCAACCCTCTACCCCAATACATTCTAGGTGCTCCTGGAGGGCTGGGTCCATCAGATTTTTCTCTCTGTCCCTACCAACTAGTGAGAGGCCTGACCCAGAGCAGGTATTACATGAATGAATGATGCACAAGAGGCTATGGAAGCCCAGAGGAGGCTGAGCTTTATGACGGTGCTACTCCTTTTTCCTTGCTCTTTTGAGGGTCTCCTGGAGGATAGTGATGCTTAAATATTTCTCAATTGCTGACTATAGGTGGCCAGGGGTTAGCCCAGCCCTCATGGGGACCCAGCTTACCTGGGGCCTGCTCCTACCCTAGAGAAGACCTGGGCTATGTTTTCTTCTCTGGATAGGCCAGGGAGCCACTACAGAGAGGGGAATTGGACCCAGGCATTCTGGAGATCTGTCAGCTGTCCAAGGCCAGCCACATTCTTTTACCTTGCCCATCTCTGGCCCAGGTCATGGGTCAATCTGGATCAGAAGCCCCCGATCCTGGAACCCCCCTCCACCCTGCTTTGTATGGGCTAACCTTGGCTGAGAAGTCTCCATGCAGCCTCTTCATTTCATTGTCTGTTTTCCACCTTCGGCTGTTGTTGGGTGCCATCAATCCTGTCATAGAGGTTAAGCTACTTGCTCAAGGTCACACAGCCAGGAATTGGAAAAATATGGCTTAACACCCAGGGCTGTCTGGCTCTAAAGCCTGAGTTCATCCTAGCCTTAGATGAGGGGCAGGGCAGAGTAGAGGCTACCTACCTTAGGATCCTTTTGCTCTAACCCCCGTTCAGTTTATATACATGCACACACACACACACACACACAACCCCCAGCACACACACAGTCTGGCCCTACTGCCCACTAGCTGTGTGACTTTGGGCGAGTTTCTTAACCACCTTGAGACTGTTTCCTCATCTGAGGCAATTAATAAGACTGCTATACGGATTAAGTAAGAAGCCCTGGTGGTGTAATGTTTAAAGTTTTAGCTGCTAATCATAAGGTTGCTGGTTGAAACCCAACAGCTGCCCAGCCACTTGGCAGGGGAAGACGAGGCAATCTGCTTTTGCAAAGTTTTACAGCCTTGGAAATCTTATGGGGGCAGTTCTACTCTGTCCTGAAGGGTCATTATGAGTTGGCATTGACCCGATGGCAGTGGGTTGGTTGGCTGGAAAGATTAAGTGCCCATTCCTGAGTCTCCCAGGTGATGGCCCCACCTTCTCACATACCTACCTGAACAGCTGTTCTCGCTGTCAGGATGCTCTTTGCTCACTCAGGCTCCTCACTCTTGAATGCACATGCCTGGACTGGGCTGCAAAGAAGTTTGCAGGAAACAGGAAAAACAGGTCCCCCAGCTTGGGGCTGTGCCCTGCCTTGGTTCCTCCAGCATTTCTCAGGGTAGGCAGATGCTGCTGCCACGGGCTCCTGCAGACACAGGGAGGTGTTTACATCATGGGCTCCAGGTCATAGGATGCCAGCCAGGCCAAGCCTTCTCAGGGCCACCCCATCTGTTCTAACTTTGGCCTGCATAAGTCAGAAAGATGATCTGGTGTGCTTGTCCTGGCAGAAGTGCCCTCTTCAACCTTCCTTTCCTCCAATACCATCTACCTGACTCCCAACACTCCAGAATGAGTGTTCATATAGCCTCTTTCTCCAACCATCCCCTTTTGCAGGAAGAAGGCTCTGCTAGGGGGAAGGTCTCCTTCCATGTCCTACAGAACCAAGAAGAGCCTCCAGCATCCCTTCCCCCATCCTGGTTCTGTGCTTCTGCTCTATAGCAGTGAGAGGATCAATACAGTAGTCACTCTATAGTAATTCTGCCAACATGCTTTTGCTCAAACTATTTCTCTAACTGGAGCACTCCCTTTCTCTGCTCCTACTTCTAACCATTTCTCCGTGGGTGTTATAAACACAGGCATATACCACACACCCACACACACAAGCACAGGCACAGAGATACACAAAAGTGTACATAGTCTCATTCAGATGTACACACACTACACACACACATACTCATGCAGTCCTAGACAATCAGGTAATGGAACAGCCTTTAAGAATCGGCTGCCCCTAACCCCCATTTGACAGATGAGGAAACTCTGAGAAGCTCAGAGGGACAGAGCCAAGATTAGAACCCAGGCCTTCTGAATTCCAGCCCCAGTTCTTATCTCTTCAACTTGGGAGCCTCTCACACACCTCAGGTGGAGCAGAGCTTCAGTGAAGGGACAGTAACTTGGTGGAGGCC